AGAATCTGCATTTTATCAAGCACATTTGTGCACGTTAAATGAAAGTTCGAGCAGCTCTGTGCTCTGTCCGCTCCCCTGATACACACGCAGCAGCCATCGACTACCTTTAATCTCCTTTAAACACTTGCCACAGATCACGTGGCAGCAGGGGGGGGGCGGGGAGGGCTCTGCTGTGTTGGGGCAGTGCAATGAGGGCTCCGCATGGCCTGCAGCAGCCCCAGCTGGGAGTCTCCTCAGCTCTGAGGCCGAAGGTTTTTCAGTTTTAAGAACTCTTGGACCCCAAGTACTCTGATCTTACTTGTTGGCAGGTCTACATCTCCGAAATTTCCTACCCAGCAGTCCGGGGGCTGCTCGGCTCCTGTGTGCAGCTGATGGTGGTCATAGGCATCCTCCTGGCCTACCTGGCAGGTATACTTTTCATTTTCTCTTTTGATCCCTGTTAATGGCCATGTGGTCATGTTACACATGTAGAAAGTGACGTTCGGAGTGGTCAAGGGACTTGCCCAAGGTGACACAGCCAGTGGTGCCCATGGCTCCAGGCTCCAGACCACGTCCCTGGGACCTTGGGATATGTGGGGCTTGTGACTAAGTTCCAGGGAGAGCTGGAGAAGGTAATGTTCCCATCTTTCCAGAAGTCCACTCTGGGGGTGTGGGGAGTCCTGACTGGTTAGGCCAGCACCTTACTGTTCAGTGACACACCAGAGGAAACCAGGGAGGGGGCGGGGACACTGCAAAAACCTTCTGCCCAGGAATTTGAAGGGCTGAGTGAGTCTCCCTCAGAACGTCCGTACTGAATCCATAATGTCAGTGTGATGGGGACCTTTTTCCGGGGACCCCGAAGGGCAGGGCTGGGGCCAGTAGGGGGAAGATTCAGGACAGAGGTGTTTCTTCATTAGAAATGGAATGGAGGGCCGGCCCGGTGGTGCACTGCTGCAGTGCGCCGCTTGGGGGTGCGGCGGCGCTCCCACCGAGGGTTCGGATCCCACATACGGACCGGTTCCCGCTCACTGGCTGAGCGAGGTGCGGGCGCAA